CCATTGCGCGCGCTGCAGCGTCCCGTGTGCGCTCGAGTCCTCGATTTTCCCCGATCGATCTCCAGGTAGCATGGTCAGCAGTATTTTGCACCTGCTGTCGTCGTCGCTCTTCGGAATTCGACTTGGCGCTTGCGTGCGCTTCAGCGTCCCGTGTGCGCTCGAGTCCTCGATTTTCCTCGTTCGCTCTCCAGGTAGCGCGATTGTCAGTGTTCCTCAATCGTTCGCTGGCTCGAATTCTTTCGCTTCTCGTTCTCTGAGAGCGAGCAGCGGAATTTCGCGAGCGAGCTTCTTCTGCTACCTCCAAATTACTTGTACGTGCCAAGGCAATGTGCTGCGCATTACGGGTCCTTATTTGTGACGCATTTTGAGCATATTGGGATCGGCTTCGTCTAAGCGCAGCTTGGCGGCGGTGCTCTTGAGATAAAGATGATATGCGCGGCATTCTCTTTATTTTGCTGTTAAAAAATAATTGTATAAAAGTTAAGGGGTTATAATTTGTCAGAGATTTTCAAAATCTCTTTGGTCGGGATTCTGGTAAATATTTATTGATGTTCCACCTGAATTTCACCAGAAGAGACTTATGTGATACGAATTTACGAATCCTGTTTTACTTTATAGAAATACTTACCAAAGGAAAAAAATATAATAATACTTTATTATTTTGTTACACACTTTTTTCACTTTTCACCTGATACCTTTTGGTGGATTTTTAATAACTTTTCACCTTTTACTTTTTTATGGGCTTATATTCACATTTCACCTTGTACTTTTTGGTGGATTTTCATTCACTTTTCACCTTATACTTTCGGTGTGTTTATATTAATTGAATATAAAAGATACACACAACAATGTATACGTTGTCACTCGGCAACTGGTTTTCACAGACTAATCCGGGGATTAGGATTACGAGTCAATATATCGGTTTGAATCATACCTGAATCATAACCTTCATATAACCCTTTCGATGCCTGATTTTAGGGACAATTCGTAGGTAAATTAGGTAAGCCAAGTTGATTACCTAATTTAAGGATTGCGTAATAACTGCATTATTACCTGTTATCTAGCTTCGTGGCAACCTTGTTAAGGTTATTTCTGTAATCTAAAATAGGAAAAACGGGTATACCTAGGTATCCTACCTTATAATTTGGACACCTGTATCAATGTTATTCGTGTCCTAACACCACCCCATTCAGCAAAATATTATAGTCGTCAGTTTTTTGTGTAAAATTAATTTCGTAATTCTGAAAAGTTAAAATATTCTATACCCAGAGTAAAGGAAAATACGACCAAAATCAACAAAGCAACATATTTTTTTGAAATAATTCATTCATTATTTCGCTGGCCGTTTCTTTGACAGCTATATGTTAGAGTCGTCCGATTTTTATTAAATTTAAATACGAAATTCTTAAAAATACAAAAAATGTTATTCCCGATAGCATAAGATAATAATATGCCAAGAAACACTGAAGCTATAATTTGTTTCATTTTATTTTTAAATTTTAAATTCGAAATTCAGAACTAATTAAAAAATGTTATTTCCAAGCGAAGGAGGTTATATGCTAAAAATAAAAAACACCTTAGATATAATAAAAACAATTTTTTCCGATTATTCCTATGGGAGCTATAAGATATAGTTGTCCGATCAGGCTGCTTCCGACTTATATACTTTCTGCATAAGAAAGAAGACTTTTGGAAAAGTTTCAGATGGACATGGCTAAAAAAAGCAATTACAAAAAAATAATATAAAAATTATAAATGCAAGGGTATAATAAATATTTCATTATTTCGCTGACCGTTTCTTTGACAGCTATATGTTAGAGTCGTCCGATTTATATTAAATATAATTCGAAATTCTTAAAAATACACAAAATGTTATTTCCAATAGTATAAGATAATATATCAAATAACACCGAAGCTATAATTTGTTTCATATTATTTTCCCACCAATTTTCTGATCGTTCCTATAGCAGCTATATGATGTAGTCGTCCGATTTTAATAAAACTTAATTCGAAATTCAAAACTAATTAAAAAAAATGTCATTTCCAAGCTTAAGAGGTTTTATGCTAAAAAAAACACCGAAGCTATAATTTGTTTCATATTATGCCCTATGGCAGCTATATGATATAGTCGTCCGATTTTGATAAAATTAAATTTAAAAAAATTCAGAGTTAATTAAAAATTTTATTTCCAATTTTACGATCGTTCCTTTGGCAGTTATATGATATAGTCTTTCGATTTTGATAAAATTAAATTCGAAATTCAGAATGAATTAAGATTTAAATCATCAAAGCCGAAGAACAATAAACCAAACAAAAAAACAAACTTAACCGCAATTTTATCCGCGGGACACTTGTTAATCCCACGGGGAATCCTCTCCAGTGACCGCGTCGAATAGGTCGCGTATTATCGTTAAGTCTGGGTTCCACTCAAGAGAGCTCTTTTAGGTAGGGACCGAAAGAAAGAAAACAGACGGATAGACGGATAGAATCGTCTACAGAAATCCCTGTGTGGGACTGTTGCACCCGGCGGGCGGTGGTTGATGGGTTTCCTTACAGAAAGCTAAAGAAGTTATGTTAATAATCTAAGTGAATAAATTGTAATAGTATGAATATGGAGTAGAACTATCTTTCAGAGGGGAGGGAACATGTAGACAGTCCCAAGGTATCCTACGGTGACCGGTCGAAGGGGCAGTCGGAGACATCTACGGCTGCTACGGTTGGGTGGGAGCGCAGAGGCTTTGGGTTTGCCCCCAAAAGCCCACAATATATCCGATGGTGTCCTGTGACCTAGAAGGGAACAAGTGGGGGAGTTAGTTTTGTGATAATCACATGTTTTGTTAGTCTTATAGTTGCTCACATTTCGTCGATTTTTTGGCCCAGCAGTAAGACAGCTGTTGCAGCGTGAAGTGTTGTAAAGTACAAACATATGTTTCTTTATTGTTGCGTGTGTGTGGGCAGGGTTAGAGTACCCACACCCCAAGTGCTCAAGAGCTAGCCGGCGCTGCCCACTCGCGGACACACGTAGTCCTATTTTGGGACGTAACACTTTTAAAACGAGAAAGGAAGTTAACTTCGGCAAGCCGAAGTTTGAATACCCTTGCAGTTATAGGAAAAAATCAATGTTAGTAACACTATGTTACATTTTAAGGACTGTTGCTAGCTTCAGTGATATTAAAACAATTTCATGTACTCATTGTCATTTATATATATATATACAATTTTGAAAACTACGCTGATAGATAGAAATAAATAAAATAATAATACCATAAAAATACATATATACAATATGCTATATACAATTTATTATTTTTTCTAACCTATTACAATTTTTACAATTTATATATTTAATTATATTACCTACTACAAGCTATACTTAAAAAAAATTCCATTGTGGTGGCTATATGGTGTCTCATAAGTAACGGCAAGAGCTTGTGGAATTCGAGAATCTGAAAATATCCAATCAATTTGTGTTATTTGTTTTGTTGTGGGAGAATGATTGATTGAAAAGAGGTTATAGGCATTCAAGTGTTCCTCCAGAATATCAGTCCCTGTGGATCTGCAAATATTAAAATCTCCTAACACATCAGCTTTAATTTCATTTCGAAATCTTGCAATAGGAAATCCGGGACTCCTATAAAGAATTATAAATGACGTGTCAAGATATTTAAATGCAATCGATTGATACGTTGCCCTTGTGTTTGTGGACTTCTTTGTCTCAAACAGAAATAATGCATTTTGCGAAATGTTTTGTTTAGCATAAATAAGTATTCCGTTCTTCCCAATACCATTCAAACGATTGCAATCTATTCTTCTTATAATGTCGAAATCCCTTAAAGTGTACTCCTCTTGTGGAATGACGTGTCAAGATATTTAAATGCAATCGATTGATACGTTGCCCTTGTGTTTGTGGACTTCTTTGTCTCAAACAGAAATAATGCATTTTGCGAAATGTTTTGCTTAGCATAAATAAGTATTCCGTTCTTCCCAATACCATTCAAACGATTGCAATCTATTCTTCTTATAATGTCGAAATCCCTTAAAGTGTACTCCTCTTGTGGAAGAGTCCAGGTTTCAACAAAACATAAAAAGTTGGCAGAACAAATAATATTTTCGTTGGCAACATCTTCGCGATGAGCGCGAAGAGATTCCACGTTGTGGTAATATAAAGAGATATCCTCATTTTCATTGACCAAAAATTCATAATGCGTAGTCAAAGCCTTTTCCCCTCTTAAACGTTCAAGTTCTACTTGGACATTTGTAGCTCCAAATCTAGTTGGAGGGACAAAGTCTCCTAAAAGGAAAAGGCCCAATGCGCTATTTGCTCTGCTGCAACCTACGTACAACGAAGCTCGCTTAATGCCTCTTTTAAGATGAACTGCGACTTTGCTGTAGGTTGCTCCTTGGCTCTTATGGATGGTAATAGCCTCAGCAGGAACAACTGGAAATTGTTTTCGATCAATAGAAGAATGTCCCGAATTTCCGCATTGGAATACTCGGGCTGTTTTATAAATTGGAGTCCAGTCTGGGTGATCATTTCCTCGAACTTTTGGCCTAGCTATAGTACCGACAGTGGCATCTGTAAACTTAATCCACAGTCCAGTAACTAATAATGAGCCGTTAACCATACAGTTGTCAATTCGCATTAATTGACCAGTTGCCCCATTTACAAGTCCATCATTTGTGTCAATATTGACGGTAACCATATATTTTGCAGTAGTCTTCAGGTGTAAAATATATGGTAGACCCTGAGTTTCAGAGATGTTCATGTTTTGGGCATGCCTAAGAGTTGATTCTCGACTTCTTTCAGACATATTAGCTGACTTAACTGTATCTACTGCAGTCTACACAAATTCTTCAGTTCTAATTTGGGCAAGTTTTAGGGAGTTGTAATGGTTTACGTCAGCATTAGAACAGAATAAGTGAATTGCATCGTCAGGAACATCGGTTACTGGAAGAACTCTTGTCCTGAAAAGCTCAATATCTGCATTCGTCATGTTGGCTTACTCCTTGGATCCGGCGTGCCGACGCTCGTGCCGCTGTACCACTCCGGGTTGTAGTCCGATCCTAGGTCTGATCGCCTTGGCTGCCATTCGAGAATCAGAGCGAGCTTCCGCCCTTGCGGCCGCATGTAAGCCCGGCTTGCCGGGTTTCTTCGTTTCCCAACACAGTTTCTTATCGAACCTCCCGCCAATGTTTACTTTTTCGCATTTCTTTTAATTTTTTATTTGTTTTATAGGTGTATGTTGAATTTGTATAGTTAAATATCAGTTCTGATTCCTGATCTATTTCAAAGTTTCCTTCATTAGGTATTTTTACTGTTAGAAAGTTTTTTGGTATTTCTATTGCGAATACTAAAAGATTATTTCTGAACATAGCCGTAGCTAACTTTATATGGTTTTGTTTGTTGAAATCGGTATTGTATTTTTTTATTTCGTGATCTGTTAATATGCTGGGATGTAATATATTGTATCTAGCAGAAGCCACGTTATCCTGCATGTTCAATCTTATTTTTTATTAACTGAATTTTTATCTGTTGGTCGTAATATAAGTTCTCCTGGTATCTGTTATTTTCGAATTTGCTAATTGCATTCAATTGTCTCTCTATTGCCTCTCTATCTGATTTAACTATTTGTTCAATGTATTTTATTGTATCATTGAAATACGTATTTATGTAAATTTGCTTGTTTAATGCTTCATCTGCTTCCTGCATGTTTTCTTTAAATGTAGAGATATGATTCTCAACTTCTTTCCTGTCTTCATCGTCCATTGTTCCGAACAACCATTTTGCTGAACTACCTACTACATTAATTAATCCTCTTCTTTCGCGATTGTGGTTTCCATATAGGGTATACAATTTGTTTTTTGTTTCAGTTAATTCCGATTGTAATATGTGTTTGTTGTCATTGTTTGTCATTTCTATGTTTTTTCCTATTTCATTCAAAATATTGTCAATATCTTTTAAGTTTACTATATGTACTACTATATCTGTTGTGATAATTATATCTTGATTTTTCATCTCTATTTGCGCATACCCGTCCTGATCAGGTATTTCTTGAATCGTTAGTGTTCCCGATTTTGTTGTTATTGCCATTGTCATTAGTATTGTCGTCAGCAACATAGTCGTCGTTAGTATTTTCTGTAAATTTATAAGGGCGTTTAATATTTATTGGGTTAATATTACCGAGATTTGCTTTTTTGAATTTCGGAGCTTCTTTGTGTCTGACTGCCTTGTAGTTCTTTATAAAACCCTCTTCTCGTTTTTCTTCATAATGCTCCCTGTTGCCGTTGTGCTTTTCTACATTTTTTAGCGCTATCTATATTTTCTTTTATTTTTGTCAATTCTATCTTATTGTTGTGGGCTTCGCTGGGGGTACATTTGATTGTAGAGTGATATCTTTCATTGTAATTTCTCACTGCTCTCTGCATAATTTGTTTCGCTGACATATTCGACGCTTCCGTTTTATATGTTATTCTAAACTTTTCTGCTAGTGAATTGTGTAGTCTTTCTACATCTGAATTGCCAGTGTGACTATTCGGTTTTGTTAAGTGTAATTCTATCCCTTCTTGTCTTAGTAGTTCTTTAATCCTGAATGAATCAAATTCGTTATCAGCTATTATTTTACCTGGTTTGCCTATTTTCGTAAAATGTTCCTCCAATTGTTCTACTATAGTGATATGATTTCTATCATTTAATGGGTATACTGCTGCGAACTTTGAAAATTTATCTATGGTCGTTAAAAAATGTGTATTTTTTATTACATATGTATCCAAGTGTATTATTTTTTGTATTATTATTGTATGTATTATTTTTATCTGATGGGGTTTCCGTTTTACTGAATTTATTTTTAATAGGATTTCTATCATATTTTATTTCTTTGCAAAAATCGCATTGATTTATAACCATTTGCACCAACTCTAACAATTTTGGAAAGTAAATCTTGTTTTTCAATTGGTTATATGTTTCCTGAATTCCTGAGTGCATACTTTCTCTTACATGATAAAACGAAATTTGTCTTACTGCTTCTGTTTCATGTTCAATATCTTGAGCTCTGAGTGTGCATTTTATGAATTCTAATTGTTTGTTGTCTGAAAACATTTCTATTAGTTTTTCTTGTACTATGTTATACTCTTGATACGATAATTCTGAATAGATTCCGACTTTTCCTTTGTGTATATATTTCCTGAAAATATCTCCCATTATTGGAAATCATGTTTTGCTATAAATATTATTGATTTTCCATGTATTGTTTTATACTCGTCTGTTTTACTGTCTGTAATAATTATTTGTGTTTTATATTTGTTAACTATTTCCTCTTTTATATAAAAATGATTGTGTAAATTTTCTTCGGCTGAGTGTACTGTTGATGTTGAGAGATTATCTTCAATGATTGCTATCATGTTTATGTCTGAAAAATTATCTTCGTATTCATTGTCTCTTTCGTTTTCGGTTTTGTTCGTGAGGTCGCTGTCTTCCAGTCTGCTAAGAAAATCTGCCACTTTGTTCTCTTTTCCTTTCAATTAATCTATCTCAAATTGATATTCTCCTAATTTTAATAACCATCTCTGGTGTCTGGGTGAAATATCTTTACCTTTATGTTTTGAGTGTAAGAATTTTATTGGCTGGTGGTCAGTTAATATTTTGAATTTATTCCCGTAAAGGTATGGTCTGAAATAATTGACGCTCCATAGTATTGCTAGGAATTCTTTGTCTGTTGCTGAGTAATTTTTTTCATGATTGTTTAGCGTTCTTGATGCAAAGCAGATTGGATGACCGTCTTGAGATAGGACAGATACAATTGCATAATTTGATGCATCTGTAGTTAATGTAAATTTTTTTTCAAAATTGGGATATCTTAAAATTGGGTGAGAACTGATTAAATGTTTTAATTTTTCAAATGCTTCGACATAGGTGGGGTCTTTTAGATTTATTTTAACATTTTTTTTCAAATACTTGGTTATTGGCTGTGCTACTTTAGCATAATCTTTTATAAATTTTCTGTAATAACCTGTTATACCTAAGAAGCTTTTTATTTGCTTCTCTGTTCGTGGTAACAGTAATTTTTCTATGATTGCGATCTTATTTGGATTTGGCTTAATGCCCTCTTTGTCAATCTGTATTTTTAAATTTTTCTTTTCTAATATTTGGAATATTTCGTTAATAGCTTGAATATGTTCTTTTAATGAGGTGCTGAAAATAAGTATATCGTCTAGATACACGACGCATTTTTTATTAATGTGATCCCTAAGTATTTCATTCATAAGTCTTTGGAATGTGGCAGGGGCATTTTTCAACCCAAATGGCATTCTTATAAACTCATATAGTCCATGTGGCGTTACGAATGCCGTTTTTTTTCTGTCTGATTCTCGGACTAAGATCTGATGGTAGCCTTTGGCTAAATCTATTGTAGTGAAGTATTGAGCTCTTCCTAGTTTATCCAAAATAGAATTAATGTTCGGAATCGGAAATTTGTCGTCTATGGTTATTTCATTTAACTTCCTGTAGTCTATTACTATCCTAAACTTTTTCTTTCCTGAGTTGTCGATCTTCTTCGGGATAACTATAAGTGGGCTAGAGTATCTTGAATTACTCTTTCTAATTATACCCTGTTCTTCCATTTCTTTTATTTGTTTCCTAACTTCTTCCTCGTGTTGTGGTGGGTATCTATAAAGTTTTGAGTTTAACTGTTCCTCTGTATTGGTCCGTATTTCGTGTTCAATTTCTGTCGTACTAGTTAGTTGGTCTCCCTCCTTAAAAAAAAGTTTGCTAAATCGTTGTACAATGACTTTAATTTCTCTGACTTCTTCTTCATTTAAGTGGTCGAGTTTCAAATTCTCTAAGTTTTTACTGCTACTTTCTAATACAGAAACTTCTTCGTATTGATATGGATTGTTTATAATTACGTTTTCTTTTTGATTTAAAATTAAAACCTTCCTCTCAATGTTTATAAATGCATTCAAAAAATTTAGGAGGTCTATCCCTATGATAAAATTGTATTTTCTTCCCTTAAGCGGGGCTAATCTCCATCGTACTCTTGCGTTATTTGGTAAGTTAAATTCTTTTGGGGCTGTGGAATGAATTTCGTGAGCTATTACGTCTTTGCTGTTAATTGTAGTGTATGGTATGGGCGTATTTAGTCTCATTTTTCTGTAACCGTTAATCTGGTCGCTAACTAAACTCAAGGTGGCTCCTGTGTCTATTAAGGCCACGTATTTCTGTTTGTCTATGTTAAGTTCTATTACTGGTAACCCATCCGAGGCGGCTTCGTAAAAAAAACCGTATTATTGAATTCTGCCTGTGGATAGTTTTCCATTTGATTATTTTCGTCTTTACTTTTCGAGTTATGGTCACTGTTGTAGTTGTCATATTCGTATCTGCTTTGGTTGGTATTGTTTTGGTGTTGGTTGGCTTCTATGTTATCTACCTCCATAGGTACCACATTCGCTGGCCTATTTTGCCTAGACTGATGTGATCCTGCTTGTTGATTCCACTGATTATTTTGATATCGTCTACTTTGTCCGGAGTTATTGCCTCTAAAATTCTGAGGGGTATTGTTCTGTCTAACTTGTCCTGAATTGTTGCTCTGATAATTTTGCTGTGCATTTTGCATTGTATTGTTTTGCTGACTATATTGTTGATTGGTATTCTGGTTGTTGTTCCTGTAATTGTTTTGATTAGGTCTACCTTTCCTATACTGATACCTAATGCAACTATTCTCATATCTGCGTTGCATCATTATCTTTAATATAGTGCTTAAATCTCTGACTTCGTAGATCTTGTCTAGTAAAGTGCCTTGTGTCATTTCTTTGGCTGTGTTAACTAATAAACTTTCGACATTACTTAAATCTATAAAATTATCATTCATATGATACACAATTAATTCATCATTTTTATGTTTTATATTTTGAATTTCTACTGCAAGCTCGCTCACCGAATTCACTCTCAGGTCACATATCCTCTTGTAGATTTGGTTCGGCTCCGTGTCTGGTCTGTACCTTAACTTCAAGGTGGCTTTTATCAGGTCCCAGTTGTCCGGCTCCGGGATATTTATTACTGCATCCTTTGCTTGACCCTGAATTGTCCTGTAGAATATTGTCCTTGTGGCTTCTCTCTTGAGTTGTGGGTCCTCTACCGTCTGTAACAGGTACTCCACGCTACTGAAGAAGGAGTTGATGGAGATTTCCCCGGTTCCCGTAAAGGTTGCCAAACGATTGATGTTTTTGAACAACCGCTCTTGTTGGGCTGGGTTGTTTCCATTTCCTTGGAGCTGTACATACGCTTGTTGCAGTTGCTCCAGCTGTCTTTCCCTTATGGCCAATTGTTCCAAAAGATCCGCTTGGGGCATCTGGCCGTTATCGTGAGCCATCCTGCTATTGTCGTATGAAGCGATCCTTCGCTGCCTTCTTCTATCCAGGTTGAGTTGATTTCCTTCTTAGCGCTGTCTAAGTCGATTTTAGTTCGATCTTTACAGGCATTAATCCACTGATTTTTAGTTGGGTTTAATGCTGTTGCGCTGCTTGGTCTGGTTTTGCTTTGATCAATGCACTTTTCTATGCACTGCACCACGTTCACTTAGCGGACTGATTTTTAGTTCGCTTCTGTTCGCTGACTTTTTGTATTTTTTATTTATCACAAAAAATGTTTGTTATATTTTTTTTTTCTTCGCGTTAAGTTCGATTTGAATAATCACTGGACCCTCTTTAATTAAAAAGGATCCTACCGGCTGCGCCAATTTTGTTTAAGGAGTCGCGAAGTTTTAAAAAAATAAATTATTTGTAAGTAAAACACGTCAAGCGGGTTTGGTGGGCAAAAATCAACTGAATATTCTTTATTGATAATGTTTGAAAGAAAACTTAATTTAGGTTTACAGAAGTGCTTATTAGGTTTTCTTACGAATTATTCTGGTCGACATGTGTAAGATCGTTGGCCCCTAGTTAGCCTGAATTTAATAACGATCGATGAACTATGCATTTCCTGTTTACTGTGTTATATTGCTTATTTGGATTTTATATTTTCTTAGAACTTATTTTGGTTGGCATGTGCCAGATCGTTAACCTGTGCATTTCCTGTTTGCTGTATTACTTTAATATATTGCATTTAGCATTTAATGAGTTAAGCAATTCTTGTACTTTATTATTAAGAGGTGGTAAAGAAGAAATTGGGTTTTGGACATATGTGGGAAGTGAAGTGGGGTTATACGTAACTCGCGCGCTGCAGCGTCCCGTGCGCGCTCGGGTCCTCGATTTTCCCCAATCGAACTCCAGGTAGCATGATCAGCAGTGTTTCGCGACTGCTCTCGTCGTCGCTCCTCGGAATCCGACCTGACCATTGCGCGCGACCTGACCATTTTCCCCGATCGTTCTCCAGGTAGCATGGTCAGCAGTATTTTGCACCTGCTGTCGTCGTCGCTCTACGGAATTCGACCTGGCGCTTGCGTGCGCTTCAGCGTCCCGTGTGCGCTCGAGTCCTCGATTTTCCTCGTTCGCTCTCCAGGTAGCGCGATTGTCAGTGTACCTCAATCGTTAGCTGGCTCGAATTCTTTCGCTTCTCGTTCTCTGAGAGCGAGCAGCGGAATTTCGCGAGCGAGCTTCTTCTGCTACCCCCAAATTACTTGTACAGGCCAAGGCAATGTGGTGCTCTTTACGGGTCCTTATTTGTGACGCATTTTGAGCATATTGGGCTCGGCTTCGTCTAAGCGCAGCTTGGCGGCGGTGCTCTTGAGATAAAGATGATATGCGCGACATTCTCTTTATTTTGCTGTTAAAAAATAACTGTATAAAAGTTAAGGGGTTATAATTTGTCAGAGATTTTCAAAATCTCTTTGGTCGGGATTCTGGTAAATATTTATTGATGTTCCACCTGAATTTCACCAGAAGAGACTTATGTGATACGAATTTACGAATCCTGTTTTACTTTATAGAAATACTTACCAAAGGAAAAAAATATAATAATACTTTATTATTTTGTTACACACTTTTTTCACTTTTCACCTTATACCTTTTGGTGGATTTTTAATAACTTTTCACCGTTTACTTTTTTATGGGCTTATATTCACATTTCACCTTGTACTTTTTGGTGGATTTTCATTCACTTTTCACCTTATACTTTCGGTGTGTTTATATTAATTGAATATAAAAGATACACACAACAATGTATACGTTGTCACTCGGCAACTGGTTTTCACAGACTAATCCGGGGATTAGGATTACGAGTCAATATATAGGTTTGAATCATACCTGAATCATAACCTTCATATAACCCTTTCGATGGCGGACAATGCCTGATTTTAGGGACAATTCGTAGGTAAATTAGGTAAGCCCAGTTGATTACCTAATTTAAGGATTGCGTAATAACTGCATTATTACCTGTAATCTAAATAGCTTCGTGGCAACATTGTTAAGGTTATTTCTGTAATCTAAAATAGGAAAAACGGGTATACCTAGGTATCCTACCTTATAATTTGGACACCTGTATCCATGTTATTCGTGTCCTAACACCACCCCATTCAGCAAAATATTATAGTCGTCAGTTTTTTGTGTAAAATTAATTTCGTAATTCTGAAAAGTTAAAATATTCTATACCCAGAGTAAAGGAAAATACGACCAAAATCAACAAAGCAACATATTTTTTTTAAATAATTATTTCATTATTTCGCTGACCGTTTCTTTGACAGCTATATGTTAGAGTCGTCCGATTTTTATTAAATTTAAATACGAAATTCTTAAAAATACAAAAAATGTTATTCCCAATAGCATAAGATAATAATATGCCAGGAAACACTGAAGCTATAATTTGTTTCATTTTATTTTTAAATTTTAAATTCGAAATTCAGAACTAATTAAAAAATGTTATTTCCAAGCGAAGGAGGTTATATGCTAAAAATAAAAAACACCTTAGATATAATAAAAACAATTTTTTCCGATTATTCCTATGGGAGCTATAAGATATAGTTGTCCGATCAGGCTGCTTCCGACTTATATACTTTCTGCATAAGTAAGAAGACTTTTGGAAAAGTTTCAGATGGACATGGCTAAAAAAATCAATTACAAAAAAATAATATACAAATTATAAATGCAAGGGTATAATAAATATTTCATTATTTCGCTGACCGTTTCTTTGACAGCTATATGTTAGAGTCGTCCGATTTGTATTAAATATAATTCGAAATTCTTAAAAATACACAAAATGTTATTTCCAATAGTATAAGATAATATATCAAATAACACCGAAGCTATAATTTGTTTCATATTATTTTCCCACCAATTTTCTGATCGTTCCTATAGCAGCTATATGATGTAGTCGTCCGATTTTAATAAAACTTAATTCGAAATTCAAAACTAATTAAAAAAATGTCATTTCCAAGCTTAAGAGGTTTTATGCTAAAAAAAAACACCGAAGCTATAATTTGTTTCATATTATGCCCTATGGCAGCTATATGATATAGTCGTCCGATTTTGATAAAATTAAATTTAAAAAAATTCAGAGTTAATTAAAAATTTTATTTCCAATTTTACGATCGTTCCTTTGGCAGTTATATGATATAGTCGTCCGATTTTGATAAAATTAAATTCGAAATTCAGAATGAATTAAGATTTAAATCATCAAAGCCGAAGAACAATAAACCAAACAAAAAAACAAACTTAACCGCAATTTTATCCGCGGGACACTTGTTAATCCCACGGGGAATCCTCTCCAGTGACCGCGTCGAATAGGTCGCGTATTATCGTTAAGTCTGGGTTCCACTCAAGAGAGCTCTTTTAGGTAGGGACCGAAAGAAAGAAAACAGACGGATAGACGGATAGAATGTCTACAGAAATCCCTGTGTGGGACTGTTGCACCCGGCGGGCGGGTTGATGGGTTTCCTTACAGAAAGCTAAAGAAGTTATGTTAATAATCTAAGTGAATAAATTGTAATAGTATGAATATGGAGTAGAACTATCTTTCAGAGGGGAGGGAACATGTAGACAGTCCCAAGGTATCCTACGGTGACCGGTCGAAGGGGCAGTCGGAGACATCTACGGCTGCTACGGTTGGGTGGGAGCGCAGAGGCTTTGGGTTTGCCCCCAAAAGCCCACAATATATCCGATGGTGTCCTGTGACCTAGAAGGGAACAAGTGGGGGAGTTAGTTTTGTGATAATCACATGTTTTGTTAGTCTTATAGTTACTCACATTTCGTCGACTTTTTGGCCCAGCAGTAAGACAGCTGTTGCAGCGTGAAGTGTTGTAAAGTACAAACATATGTTTCTTTATTGTTGCGTGTGTGTGGGCAGGGTTAGAGTACCCACACCCCAAGTGCTCAAGAGCTAGCCGGCGCTGCCCACTCGCGGACACACGTAGTCCTATTTTGGGACGTAACACTTTTAAAACGAGAAAGGAAGTTAACTTCGGCAAGCCGAAGTTTGAATACCCTTGCAGTTATAGGAAAAAAATCAATGTTAGTAACACTATGTTACATCTTAAGGACTGTTGCTAGCTTCAGTGATATTAAAACAATTTCACGTACTCAGCCCCCACACCACGTCAAGGTCACAATCCACGAGGGGGAAAATATTATCATTTATATATATATATACAATTTTGAAAACTACGCTGATAGATAGAAATAAATAAAATAATAATACCATAAAAATACATATATACAATATGCTATATACAATTTATTATTTTTTCTAACCTATTACAATTTTTACAATTTATATATTTAATTACGTTACCTACTACAAGCTATACTTAAAAAAAATTCCATTGTGGTGGCTATATGGTGTCTCATAAGTAATGGCAAGAGCTTGTGGAATTCGAGAATCTGAAAATATCCAATCAATTTGTGTTATTTGTTTTGTTGTGGGAGAATGATTGATTGAAAAGAGGTTATAGGCATGCAAGTGTTCCTCCAGAATATCAGTCCCTGTGGATCTGCAAATATTAAAATCTCCTAATATTACTACTTTAGTACTATCCATCTTACGCACTTTTTCCACATCAGCTTTAATTTCATTTCGAAATCTTGCAATAGGAAATCCGGGACTCCTATAAAGAATTATAAATTACGTGTCAAGATATTTAAATGCAATCGATTGATACGTTGCCCTTGTGTTTGTGGACTTCTTTGTCTCAAACAGAAATAATGCATTTTGCGAAATGTTTTGTTTAGCATAAATAAGTATTCCGTTCTTCCCAATACCATTCAAACGATTGCAATCTATTCTTCTTATAATGTCGAAATCCCTTAAAGTGTACTCCTCTTGTGGAAGAGTCCAGGTTTCAACAAAACATAAAAAGTTGGCAGAACAAATAATATTGTCGTTGGCAACATCTTCGCGATGAGCGCGAAGAGATTCCACGTTGTGGTAATATAAAGAGATATC